CTGGCAGGCCGCTGCCGTGTGGTCGTCTTCGTCGCCGTCGCCGTCGCCGCCGCCGCCGCCGTCGTCGTCGTCGTCGTCGTCGTCGTCGTCGTCGTCGCCGCCGCCGCCGTCGTCGTCGTCGTCGTCGTCGTCGTCCTCGTCGTCGTCGTCGTCGTCGTGGGAGCAGGGGGAAGAGGGGGAGAAGGAGGAGGAGGAGGAGGAGGAGGAGGAGGAGGAGGAGGAGGAGGGGGAGGAGGAGGGGGAGGATTTCAACATCAACCTTTTTTTTTCCGGGTGGCCAGACAACCGAGGCGACAGCGCGGCCCACGCGTGCCCGCGGCAGCTGATGCACCAAATTAGGGGGAGGAGGAGGAGGAGGAGGAAGACGAGGGCGGCCGGCACAGCCCGCCGCCGCCCGCATAGCAACGCTATGCAGGCTCCCGGAGCCCCAGCGCGGCAGCCGCCCGCCGCGGCCCGCACAGGAGCTAGGCCGCGGCGCCCTGCCCGAGGCGGGCGAGGACACGCGCCCGGAGAGCAGCCAGCCGCACGGCCGCCGGCGGCGCCGAGGACGGCCGTGCCGCGGCCGCCCGCGCCTCGCAGATGGCCCGCGTGGCCGCGTCGGCAGCGGCGGCGCGCGCAGCAGAGGCCGCGCGAGCTGCTGTGGCCTGCGCCGCGCGCCGTGCCCCCACCGCGCGCGGGCGGCCGGCGGCCGCGGCAGGCAGCAGCGCCGCGGGCGGGGGCGGCGCCCCCGCGGGCAGCTGCGGTGCCGGCGGCGCGTGCCGCGGCGGGCGCGCCAGCGCCCGCGGGCGCCGGACGGCAGCCGCGCCACGCACCGTGACGCGCCGGATGGCGCCGCCAGGCCCGACCAGCTCGCGAATGTGGTGGTTCGCGGCGTGGGTGACAGCCCCCAGGACCGCACCCTCGTGTGCCACGAGGAGCTCAGCCTCCCGGAGGAGCCGGGCGCCCGCATCACACTCCGGCGGGCACCCCGCAGCAGCCTTGGCGACGGCATCCACCAAGCGATTTGCACGCCAGTCCACCGCGGTAACGACGCCGCCGTCGGATCGCATAGCTGCGCCGATGCTGGCCGGAGTGCCGTGCGCTGGCATCCACGTCAGCCGGCCGGACGTGACCAGCTCCGACACGTCGCCGTCCAACAGCGTAGCCACGCGCGACCAGACCTGCGCAAGCAAGCGCGTGGGCTTGGCAGCGCACGCCGTGCCAGCCGCAGCGACCGTGAGGATGGACTGGCAGTCGGTGCGGATGCGGGGCGGCACCAGGGCAATGGCGAGCACAAGCGAAACGGCCCACAGCTCCGCCGCCGCCGCTGTGCGAATCCAGGGAGGAGGCACAGCGCTGCCGAAGCCCACGAGGTCCCCACGATCGGAAACGACCGCGATTCCAACTCCAGTCCGGCGGAGCTCCCATAGCGGCCCGAACTTCATGGACCCATCAGTGTACCAGATGAGGTCGTCGCGGGTTGCGTCCGGCGGCGTCGTGAACCAGCGAACGGCGACCTCGTCCTGCGCCACAGGGCGCGGCAGACGAAGCGCCAGGAAACCGCGCGCGCGAAGGAGCGCGGCCCGGGCCTCCGAGAGCGTGGAGAGGAAGCCCTGGCACGCTTCCGGGGGGCGCGGCCACTCATCTGGCGGCACCGTCGCCTCGCAGACGCGGCGGTGCAAGAGCGTGCCCAGCGCCGCGCCGCAAAGCTGGCAGTTCCTATCCTCGACGCCATCGGCGCCCCGCAACCGGGCAATGCGGACCTGGGGCCACTGGCCGCCGGTAGCTGCGGAGAGCAGCATCGACCGGCACTGCTGGGACCACTGCGGAACGGTGCGGTGCGGCCGCCCCTGGCCCTTCAGGAGGCGCGCAATGGGGCGCTCCACGAGGACCGTGAACGAGTCGGCGCCCTGGGCGGTCGGCAAATCCGGCGGGCCGTCGACGATGGTGGGCAGCTCGGAGACCACGCGCTTGGTGCGCCACCTGTCGACAGATCTGTGCACAGCGGCCGCCACCATGGCAGGCGACATGAGGATGAAATCCACAGGCTCCCCCAAGTCATCCAAAAAGCGTCTTGGAGAGGGGCGCCGCCACCCGAGTCGCCAGGCCGTGGCAATGACAGCAGCCGCTGGGCCAGCAACGGCGGCCCACGGTGATCTGCCGCTCGCCGCGATCACGGCCAGCCGATCCCGCGACGCCTCGAAGACGCAGTCGAGGTCCAGCGCCGGGGCCCACTCCTGCCAATAAACCAACCCCCAGTGTCGTAACGGCGTGGCGTGTGCGGCGTACGCTGGGTCCAACGCGGCGCCTCCGGCATCCAGCACGGCGAAGCCGACGTCCACCTGGCGGCTCGCCCCCGGGGGCAAGGCTGCGCAGAGTGCGGCGACCCTGACTCTGTGGAGGTGCGTGTTGGAGGCTCCAACGATGTCAATGCCGTAGAGCATGCTGGGGCCGCCCATCGCTTTGACCACGCGGGTGACATCCACTCGCTGGCGGCGCAGGGCGTGCACCCGGGGAATGCGCCTCCGGAACTCTTTGAGGCGGCACTTGAGGACGCCAACAGAACGAGTGCGACCTGCGGCGAAAGGGGTGCCCAGCAGCTTGACACTGCGCTTCGGCACCAGAAGCCGCTGTCGGGTCAGGCTGGCCAGCTTTGCCGCCAATCTGGGCTTCGAGGCGACCGCGAACGACTTCGTGGTCGACACCGTGAGCTTGAGGCAGCGCTCGAACATGCCCACGAAGAAATCCGTGCCGCGCGCCACGGCGAACAAGGCCTCCTCGGTGAAGCCGCTGGCAGTGATGGTGAGGTCGTCGACGTACAGGTACATACGTAGCAAAGGCCACCGCCTCGTAGCAATGAGCATGGACTCATGCAACAGCATCTGGAGCTCCAGCGTGGCGAAGCCGGAGCCGGCTGTAATGCCACGAGTGGCGACGAGCAAGCACGAAAATGTGCCCTCCACGCCGATGGCCCGAGTCAAGCGGTAAGCCGCCAACGACAACCGCAAGATGACCAAATTGAAGTTCAATCGCGCCGCGGCCGCGGCAACGAGGTGGTGCGGTACCCGCTCGAACGCCTTGACGAGATCAAGGAGGGAGGCGACGTGGTGGCGCGCGGAGGCGGCCGACGCCTCGGCTGCAAACGCTGCGGCCCAGGCCGCGCGCTGCGCGCCGCGTCCAGCACTGCCGAACACCGATGGAAGGGCGTGCGCTGCTTCCCAGGCCCGGGCCACGTGGGCCCGCGTGCGCATCCACACTCGGATGAGAGTGGGAAACAAGCCTATGGGCCGAAGGCCGCCGTCAGGCTTGGGCAACAGCACGATCAGCACCAGGTTGCATGCGGATGTCCACCCGCCGAGCCGCTCAGCAGCAAGCAAAATGTGGATGAGCATGATGCGGGCCGCAATGGGGAGGCGCTGGAGGGCCCGCGGCGCTAGGTGGTCAGCTCCGAGGCCCGTGCCGACCGGAAAAGAGGCAATGGCCTGGTCCAGGCTCCACAAGGTGATCGGCTGGGGCTGCGAAATCAAGTGCTCGGGAAAGCGCGGCTCATGGTACTCCTCCTGGATCGCCCACTGCTCAGCCCAGCCCTCGGCCTCGCGGTCGAGCGCGGACTGCTCGGAAAGGGGTGCCACGGCGGCGCGTCCGCGGCTATCCATCAGCTCCTCGATCCGCCCCTCGGCGCACTCGTGCTCCAGCGGGTCCGAATCAGGGACATCGTCCTCGCACCGGGAGCCCCCTACAGGGGATCGCGCCCAGCCGCCGACGCCGCGGACATATCGGTACGCGAGGCGTCCTGGGGCGCACGCCGACGCACGAGGCGCGCGGGGGCAGCCAGGGGCAGCAAGGGCGTCACGGTAGCTGGCCAGGTGCGCCCTCGACACTGCTCCCTCGATCCGCTGGGCATGCAGAGCAGCCTGAGCAGCCAGGGACCGCAGGGCGGTGAGGCCACGGGAGCAGCGCGCGTGGCCGAAAGCCGCCGCCCAAGCGCGCATGGCCTCAGGCACCTCGCCGGGGGCGTGGGCCGCGCGCTGCGCCGCGGCGAGCACTCGGGACCAATGGCGAGCAAGCAGCAGCTCGTCGGAAGCTGCCCGCTGCGACCGTCCGAGGATGGCAGCGGTCTCGAAAGCCCGCGCAGAGCACTCCCGCCAGGCGACAGCGATGGCGGAAGCGCCAGCGTGTCTGTGAGCAGGCCGGCCAGCGGCGGGCTCCCAGCGGAACCGCGGTCGGAACCACGGGGCAGGCACGCTGGTGAGCAAGCTGAAAGTGCCGCGTGCTGCGCGGTGCCAGCTGTCGATGGCGGCCTCGAGCTGCGTAAAGTTGACAATCTCGCCGCACTCCCACGTGTCAGGTGGAGGATCCGGCAGAGGCCCATGAGGGAGCTCCCCGTCAATGCGGCGAGGTCGCACTAGTCTGCGGACCGCCTTGCGGCGAGCATCGCCAGCCAAATACAACCTGGTGGGGAAATGCGGGGTGAACCCTCCGTCGTCGATCCGACAGCATGAGCGATGCAGCGACTGACGACGAAGAAGTCGTAAGTGGATCCGTTGCACGCAGGAGTCGCTGGCGAGATAATGCGACCCTTGACGATGTCAAGCCAGCCGGTCGCCGTGAGCATCTCCGGCGTGATGTTCCAGTAGGAGTGCAGGCCACCTGGACGAGACAGTGCTTTGCTTGAAACAGCTGCAGGAGGCGATACGGGGAGGCTCGCAAAACGACACCAACACATCCCCCCAACACCTGGACGACGGAGTCACCAGGGCCCAGCACCGCCTTCCAGGGCCAGGAGGGCGGAACCACTGCAAACCACCGAGGGAGAACACAAAAAACGGCCGTCCCACACTAGGCGGAATCATCCACCAGCGGCCCAGATTGCAGAGAGAGAGAGAGACGCCACTTTTGGGGTGTTTCCCTTTCACTATTTGTGACCAGGCGTAGCGTCTACCATGGTCACTTCTAGTTTCGGGGCCGGGCGGTCCGACAAACATCATGCGAAGCTTCCTGACTTGGCCGCCAAATGTATA